TAAAACAAACATTTTTTTTTTTCCCCCCCCCCCCCCCCCCTTTAAATCTCGTTCACCTCTCTCCTTACTCAAAGTGTTGCTATGAATCATAATTAAGCAAACTATATAGCTATTAATAATAATGTTGGTCCAAACTATAATTATTTATAAAAATTCCTTAAAAAAATTGGTTGTTTTCTTAGGCATTAGATCAACATAATGTAAAGTTTTCAAACACAATTTGAAACTGAAAGATAAAAGTATGATTAAATATTCATAATCATGTATTGTACCTGATATCCTTGTGAAGATATGTATCCTCCTTTTGGCTCACTACTATTGTTGCTCTGCATTAGATGTATTGCAATATAAGCGTTTTTGCCACGGTGACTGTAAATTAACCTTTTTATGTTTATGCATCAACTGTTTATCTTATCTATAAATATAAATGGAGTCTTAAGTAATGAACTATTCAAGCAAAAGTAGTAAATTGTTCATAAATTATCTTACCACATCAAATATGGCATCTTCAGGCGGCGGCATATATTTTTGTCTTAAAAGATCATCTTTCGTAATTCTCTTTATAGGAACAGTTCCAAAAGGACAACGTTCATCTTTCGACCATATCATCGATGACCAGGTTGTTGTTGAGTCACTTGAATTTTTCTTCATCCTAGATAAAGTAGGTTTCATCTGTTCCACCAAATGTTTAGTTGCATGCTAACAATATTATGTTCTTGTAAAAAAATGAAAGGTAAAATGGAAAGAGATTAAAGATATATGCCTTTGGATGAAAATTATGATCCTTCAACAATGGATGATCAAATGCAGGTTGTTTGTAGAAATCAATACAATCATATACATCCCCATACTTGGTCTGCAAAAAAATATATTCATGAATCAGGTAATTAAATTATAGTTATTAGACATCTCGTTATTGAATATGTAACTTTTAAACACAAAAATTACAAAACTTTAGTTTGATCTTACAAACACAAAAATCTCAAAATGTCAGAAAATCACACGTCTAATGTAACATTAATCCATATGGTTGCTTTGTTCTTTTGGACCCATTTTCCCAGTTTGAACCTTTTCTAGCTTCATTATGTTGGTCATGATTTGCGAATGAATGGCACATTTTTCGAGGTGAATGAATGAGGATTGTTTGATACTCCCTCCGTCCCTTTTTAGTTGTCCACTTTAGAAATGGCACACAGATTAAGGCAACAATGATTAGCACAGTGAAGTTACAATTTTACCCTTATGACAACTTTTCATTTCAAAATTACAACCACTTTTTTGAATTCAAGTGAAATAAATTGGAGGGAAATAAGGGTATAATAGGAAAAAATTTGTTGTCTTTTCTTGATTTGTCAAAATGGACAAGTAAATAGGGACATCTAAAAAAGGAAATATGGACAAGTAAAAAGGGACGGAGGGAGTATTAAGATTTGACCAAAGTCAACATTTAAGATTAATGAGGTACAAAAAATAATTTTAGTGAGTAAAATTGATAAATTAGCTTTTAAATCGAGATGTTTCCTCTTTTTCTATACAGAAAAGTGTTACATCTTGTTGGATAATAACAAATTAAATTTTACGAACTAAAGTTACAACTTCTTGCATCAAAAGTAGTAGTTTTATCATAATGTTTTTCAAATTCATTCTTGCTTGTATTATTTTAATTTGTGCTTATGAATTTTTCGTGTCGGATTGGATTGGAACTTTTTGATAGAATTTGTATTTATTTCACTAAAAGTTTTTTTTTGGTCAGGTCATTTTTTAATTGAACTTGTATTCATTAAATAAATAAAAAAATTCAAAATAATATTGCACATTGAGAATTGAGTTTTCCAGTATATGTGATTTTTGTGATATAAAACATATAATAGTAAAGTGAATTTGGTGAAATAAAACTCAATAGTTATGTGATCATATATGAAATTTACACTTACGATATTTTATCTTGAAAAGTCGAAATAAATGCATATATGTGGGGGTAAAAACTACTATGTGATAGAGGAATTTTTTTCTCTGGCAAAATCGATATTATCAAATAAAAATAATAATGTCATAAGAGATTTATGTGCACAATTAACTAAAAAAAAAATACCTTAACAGTTTTGACTGCTGGTTTGTTCAAGAATTTTAATTGTTTTTCTAACTCCACATCTTCTGATTTGGGCATAATTTTCTCTCCTTGTACTCGGTTATAACTCAAAAGGAAATATAATACCAACAAAATTTGTTGAACAACTTTTTGATGCATCCTAAATTTATTTCTTTTTATAGGCATGAATATAAAGTGTTTTTGAAAAAGATCAAACTATTGGATCCAATATATCTTTAAATACTGAACCTGATTTGCTATGATGATACCTTTGCTACTATGAGGAAGACTTTATATAAAGATGTAGAAGAGACTAAGTTGACTATTAGACAAGATATTGAATTTAATATAATTAACAAAATTTCAAACGATTCAAGCTTTAACTCCAAAATAACAGTCAAAACATAGATTTCAATTGAATTAATATTGATTTTCAGTCAATAAAAGTTAATGATTGTTGACCATGTGACTGGTTGACATCTATTTTTGACACCAAACATGTTGAATTAGTTGACCAAATATTTTTAATTATAAAAAATAGTTTTACAAAAATCACAATTATTTTCTAAAATCATTTTAGTACCATTTTATCATTTCATTTTTCAAAAAATAAAAATTGTCAATTTATTAAGTATTCAAATCAAGTACACATTTTATTGTCATTTTGAAATCATTCACGACTTAAATATTACTCCTACGTCCAATTTTATGTGATATAGTTTGATTCGGCACGAAATTTAAGAAAGAAAAGAAAACTTTTAACATTTGTGGTCTAAAATGAATGATAAAAAATTGTTTGGCTGTAAGTCATTTTATTAAGGGTAAAATTGACATTTTAAAGTTAAATTGTTACTTAATATAAAATTATAAATTGAGACAGAGAGAGTGTATTTAGTCCATTTTTTGCAAATAATTATTTAGTTTGTTAAAAAAAAAATTAAAAAAAGATTGGATAGCCAATTTATCTCAAATTGATTAGAATTTTAATGAGTGGTTTGATTTTCATAATAGTTCAGAAATGAGTCGCTCACAAGAATATCCCTATTTTGACATGATATTTAATTTTTGACCTTAAAACTTGTTTTACCCTTCAGCACTAAAAAGATACAGACAACAGTACCCCTGTGTAACATCCCAGATTCAAAAGAGGGAAGCCTAGTAAAATTACAGGACTTACAAGTGTCATCCACGCAGGCTAGTCACGGCCCGCGGGTTGAACCACGGACTGTAGGTAGGCCCGTGGAAAGGTCACCAATAAGTCTGCCTAGGCCATGAGCCACGGCTGGACCCACGAACCGTCGATGGGTCCACGCCTCGTGGTCCAGGGGCCGTAGGTCCAAGCAAAAGCCTCTGACCAGCAGGACGGACTGTTGGTCAATCCAAGGTTTGTCAGTGGGGTGTTGACACCCAATTTTGACCGACATTTAACTATTTCAGAAATGTTATTCGATTAAATACGTTTTTTTAAAACCCATTCCGGATTTAGAATTTTAATCGATTTTGTATAAAAAATTATGATTTTAGTATGCATGCTATTGTAAATATTATTAAATTATTCTCGTAAATTATTTTTACCGATATTTAAACTTGAAATATTTATTTTGCTCAAATATTTTAAAATTTTAAGTGATTTTAGTTATATAATAATATTATAATATTTGTAGTATTTTAATTGAATAACATTTCTTTAATTTTCCTCAAAATCATTTAAATTCTAGCCTATTCTATTCTAATTTCTTTCAATTCTAGCCACTTCAATGCAAATTCTATTTCAATTATAGCCACCTATGCATTTCAATTCTAGCCCTTTTTAATACAATTTTGTTTCAATCATAGCCAATTCGGACCAAACTTATTCCAAATATCAGAACTCTAATTTTAAATCGTGACCGTCGATCTCATCCTTTAAATCTCAGCCTCTCATCTCAACATAAATCAATGGGTGAGATCGAATCCCTCATTAGTTTCCTTTTAAACTACTAAAGGATCGAAACCCTAAAATTTTTCGTTCTCTTCCTCCCTCAAAAATCTACCGCATCACCCATCTCCTCTCTCCATTTTTTTTACTCCGGAGAGAGCAGCCACCAGTCGCCGCTCTCGCTGCCTCTTTCTTCTCCGAATTTCGCCTTTTCCACTAGCGATCGGCGAGGCAGTACAACCACCAAAGTAGCAGCCACCGGTGAACTCCAACAGCGACCGACGAGGATCAGCAGCTCCGGCGAAGGCCAGGCGACCAACGAGCAACGCCAGCAGCTCCGACAAAGCATCCTTAAAGCTCCAACACCGGTCAACAACAGCAATCACCGGTGAGAACAGTGAGCAGCGCCAACGAGAGCTCCTCCGACGAGTTTTCTTCTCCTCTCTCTTGTCACGACCCGAGTCTACACCCTGGACGTGGCCGGCACTCGAAGACCATTGCTGGTCCCCAAGCGAACCCTCATCCTGGTTGACTACAAGCGGAAGACTAACTTAAGCATGCAAAAGCTTAAAACTGAATAAAATTCAATAAACTCAACTTTTTAAAACTTCAACTCAAATGAACAACTTAGAATAAAATAAAATATTCAACCCGCCATAAAATAGGCAACTTAAGCCTTTAAAACATTTAATAAAATAAATGAATAATACAGACTTCTCAACTATACTGACTATCTATGAAGCCTCTAATTGATAACGATGGAAGTCGGTACAAGACCCACGACATCCTGACTGAACTGAAAAGTAAATGAAATCTTGTTCATGAGTGTGAAGTGCGCCACATTTATGAATGAGAGGCTACAAGATGATTAGGAAACTCTACTTCTTTCATTACTCTTAAGTCGTGCGATAAAGTTTAACTCTATAAGGTCTCTCTCCTAATCCTTATTTTATGTTCTTCAGGATATGACTCGTGAAGAGCTTATACTATAAGGAATGTGAGGGAGAATGCGGAACAAGAAGCTTCTCCCTATGTTTCTCAAATTCTGATCGATCATTTAGCCGAGCAAGTGTCAAATGCGGAGTTTAGAGATGCATTTAAAGTATTGGCTCAAGTCATGATGAGCCAATCTAATAGGGAGGTAGTGGTTCCCGTGAACCCAAATGCGGGTACGACGGCTTCAAGAGTGAGGGACTTCACAAGAATGAATCCTTCGGAGTTTCATGGTTCCAAAGTTGAGGATGATCTTCAAGAGTTTATAAATGAGGTCTATAAGCTTTTGATGATCATGGGAGTTACACCGATGGAAAAGGCAGAGTTGGTCACTTATCAACTAAAGGATTGGCTCAAATATGGTATAACCAATGGAAAGAAGGGAGACCGGAAGATGCGGGTCCTCTTGATTGGGAGAAGTTTAAGGTTGTTTTTATTGATATGTTTTTCCCCTTGAGATAAGGGAAGCCAAGGTGCTTGAGTTCATCAACCTTCGATAAGGAAGTATGAGTGTGAGAGAATATTCTCTAAAGTTCACTCAATTGTCTAAGTATACTCCATTGATGGTTGTCGATTTAAGAGTTAAAATGAGTAAGTTTGTATCGAATGTGTCCAAAATTGTGGTTAAAGAGTGTCGAACTGATATGCTCATTAATGACATAGACATCTCTCGTCTCATGGTGCATGCACAATAAATTGAGGAGTCGAAACTCAAGGAATAGTTTAGAGAGTTAAAAAGAGCTAAGACCAGAGATGGAAATTTCTCTAATACAAGGTCTGATGGACAAGGTCGTCCTAGATTTCGACAAAGGTTTTTCGATCAAGGTTCCTCCAATGCTCCTCCTAAGTTCAGCCAAGATAGGGTATCTAACCCTAAGCCTCAAGGAGGTAATGGTAGTAGATCTTCATTAACTAGGTCTAATTGTACTAAGTGTGGAAGGAAGTACGAGGGTAAGTGCCTAGCCGGCACGGATGGTTGCTTCAGTTGTGGTAAGAATGGTCATAAAATGAGGAATTGCCCGATGCTTATGGATAAAAGAAGAGAGGGCAAGCAAGTTCTTACTAGTGGTACGGGTTCCAATGCTCCTAAGCAAAACTGATTCTATGCACTACAAACTCATGGTGATCAATAGAATTCTCCGAATGTGGTCATCGATATGTTGACAGTTTTCCAACTTGCTGTATATGCTTTACTTGATCCTGGTGCTACCTTGTCTTTTGTGACGCCATATGTGGCTATGAGATTTGATGTTCTTCCAGATGTATTGTTAGAACTTTTTTCGGTCTTGACTCCTGTTAGTGATTCTATTGTGGCTAAGAGGGTCTATAGAAAATGTTTTGTTTCCTTGTCCCGTAGAGTTACTCTTGTTGACTTGGTAGAGCTTGATATGTTAGATTTTGATGTTATCTTGGGTATGGATAGGCTACATTCATGTTATGCTTCTTTCGATTGTAGAACTCGTGTAGTTAAGTTTCACTTCCCGAATGAGTCTATCCTAGAGTGGAAGGGGGAAATTCTATGCCTAAGGGTCAGTTTTTCTTTTATCTAAAAGCTAGAAAGATGATTTCTAAGGGTTGATTTTACCATCTAGTAAGGGTGAAGGATGTAGATTCTGAAAGCCCTTCTCTTGAGTCGATCCTCGTTGTAAAAGAGTTTTCGGAAGTGTTCCCAGATGATTTACCCGGTATTCTTCCTGAGCGGGAAATAGACTTTGGTACTAACCTTCTCCTATATACGCTACCTATTTCTATTCCTCCTTATCATATGGCTCCAGCATAACTTAAAGAATTGAAAGAACATGTGAAAGATTTATTGGATAGGGGTTTCATCCGATCTAGTATCTGTCCATGGGGTGCTCTAGTTTTGAATGTGAGAAAGAAAGATGGTTCTCTTCGTATGTGTATTGATTATCGACAGTTGAACAAGGTTACCATTAAGAATAAGTATCCTCTTCCAAGGAGAGATGATTTTTTTGACTAACTTTAAGGAGCAAGTTATTTCTCTAAGACTGATCTTCGGTCGAGTTATCACCAATTGAGGGTGAAAGAAAATGACTTTTCGAACTTGGTATGGTCATTATGAGTTTTTGATAATATTATTTGGGTTGACTAATGCTCTAGCGACGTTTATGGATTTGATGGATAGGGTGTTTAGACAATACATTGATATTTTTGTGATTGTGTTTATTGATATTATTTTGATTTACCCAAGGAGTGAGGATGAGCATATTGGTCATTTGAGGATCGTGTTGTAAATTCTTAAAGACCAACGACTTTTTGCAAATTTTAGCAAATGTGAATTTTGGTTAAGGTCTATAGCTTTCCTTGGTCACATTGTTTCGAGTAAGGGTATAGAGGTAGATCCTAAGAAGATAGATGCGGTCAAGAGATGGCCTAGACCTCTAACTACCTCAAATATTAGAATTTTCTTGGTTTAGCCGATTACTATAGAAGGTTTGTTAAGGGTTTCTCGTCAATTGTCTCTCATTTGACAGTCATGACTCAAAAAAAAGGCTAAGTTCATATGGTTTGAAGCATGTGAGAAGAGTTTCCATGAGTTGAAAGATAGACCTACTTCCGCTCTGGTGTTGACCTTATCGAAAAGGATGGATGGTTTTGTGGTTTACTGTGATGCCTCGAGAATTAGGCTAGGGTGTGTGCTTATGCAAAATGGGAAAGTTATTGCCTTTGCCTCAAGGCAACTTAAAATCCATTAGAAGAATTATCCCACTCACGACCTTGAGTTAGCGGTGGTCGTTTTTTCTCTAAAGATTTAGAGACACCATTTGTATGCAATACATGTAGATGTGTTTACCAACCACAAGAGTTTGCAATATGTGTTTAATCAAAAAGATTTGAATCTTCGCCAAAGAAGGTGGCTTGAGTTATTGAAGGATTACTACATGAGTGCTCTTTATCACCTCGTTAAAGCTAATGTGGTAGCGAATGCTCTTAGTCGGTTATCTATGGGTAGTGTTGCTTATATTGAAGAAGAAAAGAAAAGGTTGGTTCGAGATGTTCATAGATTGGCTCGATTATGTGTTCAACTAGTGGACTCCACCAAAGGTGGTATTATGGTTCACAATGGTTCTGAACCGTCTTTTGTGGTGGATGTGAAAGTCAAGCAAGGTCTAGACCCAATTTTGGTAGAATTGAAATAGACGGTGCCTAAGAAATCCGTTGAGGCTTTCTCCCAAGGGAGAGATGGTGTACTTAGATGCCAAGGTCTGTAACGAACGGGTTCAGTCGTTATAGAAAAGCCAATGGGGAAAAATTTTGGGCCGGAAATCTTTTTGATAGTAACTTGAAAATTCTCAACTTAGTCCAGATTTGGACAAAATCAGAGTTTTAGGGTGTGGAGAAATTTGTTAAAAATCAGGTGTGTTGTTTATGATTTTGAGTACATGAATAGATATATAACGCGTAAAGGAATCCGTACGACTTTCCGAAATTGAATTTGGCCGAGTACAACTCCCGGAATTGATCTTAGAGTGGATGGTATTTTTTTAGCGTCGTTGAAAGAATGTGTGTTGTGAAATGGGGATCTTGGGATTTTTGAAATAGCTCTCTGTCTTCGTGCAAGCCACTGGGGCAGGATTTTTGTCGCCAGGGCAGGGCCGTTGTGGCGGGGTGGTGGTCGTTGTGGTGGATTCGACGTTATTTAAGTCGTTAATAAAACTGCAAAATGTCTTTATTCTGCAATTTTTGACTTTGAGAGCCAAGATACGACCCCATACGAGTTCTAGATAGTTTTTCACCATTCTTGAGGCTAAAGGTAAGATTTTAACTCCTCAGATCCGTTTTTCGATCTGTAAAACCTATTTCTTAGGTTGTTACTGATGGGGAGGGGTTTTTGATCTTAGAATTCATGATGGAAACAGCCCTAACTGGACCATGGAATGATCTACGGTTTGTAGAATTGTTAGTAATCCAGAAATTTGTGACTATTTATTGATTCCCATATTATATTGATTGTTTATAGACCACGAACAAGCGGAACGAATCCGGAAATGGAAGGATCAAGTTTTCTAGGGTTTCAACCTTGTTTCGAGGTAGGTGATGGTTGTGATTCTATGATTGTGTGATGTATTCTTGTTATTGCTTCATTATGATACATGTATGTACGTATGCGAATGTTGCATTGTTGATCACACTGATTGTAAATGAGATAGATGAATAACTATGTGTCATGAATCACTACTTGATTGTATGATTATTGAGAATATACTTGTGAGTGTGATTGTGGTTTGTTGATGGATCGGTTGCCACATTTCGGCATAACTAATTGGGATCGATTGCCACGTTCCGGCATAAATATAGGATCTGTTGCCACGTTTTGGCATAATTATTGGATCGGGTACCACGTTTTGGTGCACTAGCAGTTTGGATTTGGGTTCCATGTGAGGACCAACTACTTGTGACACTTGTGTATTGTTGAACATGTGATATCCAATGTTGTTATGTTCTGTATATTGCATGGTTATATTGTTGTGATGACTTGTTTATGTTACACTTAGTGGGATAGCCGCGTGATCCTACCAGTACACGGTAGTTGTGTACTGATACTGCACTTGCTTTTATTTTTGTTTAGTACATGGAATCTTTCGGCGTATATTGACAGACCTCGCTTAGAAGATATGTGATTGTTGCTTTCGAATTCAAGGGTGAGCTAGCATCTTCCGGGATGTTTTGGATTCTCTTTGAGTCTATGTCCACATTTCGAAATTAGACTAGTTCTTTAGATGTTTTTATGTTAGTTGGGGTTGTGACCATTCTTGTTTACACTTGGTTAT